GAGGAAAATGTGTCTCTTCTATGGTCTCCGCACTCATCTCTTCCCACCCACCTTGGCTGTTCTTATCAAAAATTCGCACAAATACACCACCCACCAACCCAGAATCCAGTATTTCTCAGGAACAGGAGACTGGGTGAGACAGATAAAGTATTTCTACTTCCAAGGAACAGAGTAGAAGGAGAAAGAGACTCCTTTTAAGTTGCCATTCTCTAAGACGGAGAGTTAGAACCACATGAGGCAGAACCATTCAAACCTTCACCTGTGCAATAGTTTTTCTCATCTTCTTCCAGATGTCTTATCAAATCGATTAAAGGACTCAGACCCATTTTCTCACTTGGTCTTCCTTCCATGCAGCATAGGTCATTTTCTGTGAGAGTACCGGTTTTCTTTACAATTACCATTTTAAGACATAGGCTCCAAAAATTGCCATTATTTTTTGTGAGAAATTACTCCCAAATACTTACCTATGGGCATGGGAGGAGGGGAAATGCCATTTATATAATGTAATTTTCAGCTTATGTTTGTAGGTTGTAATTTTTAGCTTAGGTGTGCAGTTTGTAAGTTGTATTTCTTTGTATTTGTTATTAGTGGGAAGTGTGAACTTCTACAGTCTGTATAAAATCCAGAAAGCTGAACATGGTACAATGCCCAAGAGACTCATGGAAAGGAACCAATCATCTACCAGTTAACTGGTTACCGGGACAACACTCCTTAACATTTCAGTGACTGACTGGATTTGCAGCTTCTATTAATGTACTCTCTCCAGGAGCCTCAAGAACATCCACATGAAATAACCTCTTCATTCAGAGCAGCGGTTCTCAACCTGTGGGTCGCGACCCCTTTGGCGGTCGAACGACCCTTTCACAGGGGTCGCCTAAGACCATCCTGCATATCAGATATTTACATCACGATTCATAACAGTAGCAACATTACAGTTATGAAGTAGCAACGAAAATAATTTTATGGTTGGGTCACAACATGAGGAACTGTATTTAAAGGGCCAGAAGGTTGAGAACCACTGATTTAGAGGCTCTCCACTGTCAGAGCTTCCTAAAGCACTAGTTGTGTCCCATGTAAGTAAGCAGAGTACCGGCTCCTGTGAATCTCAGCTTGCAACTTCAAGGCCAGGTGCAGAGATTAGCTTATGCCTGGAAAGCATGATAAATATTAGTTTGAAAGTGATATTCATTGAAGTTGACATTTGCTCTGGAAGGGTTCACTCACAGCTCTGATGTTTCAGATAAACTTGTGAAAGACTGAGTAGAGGCACCCTTGCCAAGCAGGCCCAGCAGGTGCTCAGAAAAATCCTATTAAACACATGCAACATAATAAAAATGCTTGGTCTTTTTTATCACAAGAAATTTATTTTAGACTTGCAGAGGAGGGCAAGGCAGGAGGGTGGCCTTTCATCCAACCTATAAGTTATTTCAGATTCAAAGTTAGAATCAGGTGTAAGAACACAGGTTATTTTATGGAAGTGTGGGGAAAGCTATCAATTACTAAGAATAAAGAAAAAAAAACAAGACCTTAGAAATACCATGAAAATAACACCTGATAGGTGAGAAGAAACTTTAAACTTAAAATTATAAGTAGGTCCTTTAATTCCTAGCTATTGAAGCAAGAAAAATCTAGGAAACATGATCTATTAATAAATGCAGCCTAGCCCTGGCCAGTGTGGTTCAGTTGGTTGAGCATCATCCTGTGCACCAAAAGGTCTCCAGTTTGATTCCTGGTCAGGGCACATGCCCAGACTGCAGGTTCGATCCCCAGTCGGTCGAGGTGCATACAGGAGGCAACAGATAGATGTTTTTCTCTCACATTGATGTTTCTGTCTCTCCCTCCCCACTACCTTCCTCTCTAAGAAAAAAAAAAAAATCAATAAAAACATATTTTAAAATAACTAAACACAGCCTATTACCCAAAGCCTCCTGTTGCTTACTAGATGTTACTCTTTGTATATTACGATAAATGAAGATGAAATCAGTATCCTTATTAGTGGAACACAGAACTGGTTTTCCTGCAGTGACCCAGTCTGCTGAACTGTTGGTACACTCTCATTTCTTATGAGTGTTGTCATAAATGTTTGACAATCGGGCACATTTGGAAAGTTTTCTTCAGCCAAGTTGAACTAACCTATCTTCAATTCAACAGGGACGTTTGGGCCTCATCAGCACCATGTTTCCATCACCTGAAGACAGTGCCACACATAAAACTGGCATTGTTGCTTATCCTTCCCCAGTCTCGGGGAGAGGAGATGACTGTTTCAAGCTAAGTATAATACAATTAGCTGAAAACATCTACAAACACCGAGACAACCACCACACAGGCAATCCGTTGCAGAACTCGGACTCCCCTTCCCCAGTCCACACCTCTTCACGTGTGCCTGTGGGAGCACAATATAGTCTTACTTTTACCTATTATTTTAAGTTCATATCAGTTTACCTATCCATCCTCTGATCAGCTCTCGCTACAGCTACTACTCATATAAGTACCAAACGCTCTCAAAGTACTAGACACTGTGCTAGATGCTTACATACATTATGTCAAATTCTCACAAGCAGCACTGGATACCTAAGCATCACAATTAGGCTGCATTCTCCAGGTGGACTGAACAGGGAAACACATCCAAAGTGGCCTGTCCAGGGCCACACAGCGAAGTGAGAGGCAGAGCTAGGACCAAACCAGGGTCTGCCTGGTTCTGAAGCCCATGCTCTTTCCACAAAACCACAGAGCACTGCCGAAGAACCTTATAATATTAGGTGTGGAAGGAACCCTATACAACAGCTGCCTTTTATTAAAAATCCACGACGTGCCAGGTGCTCTCAATACCTTACCTCATCTTCTTACCACAATCGCGTAGTGCTGGTTCAGGATAATGAAATAAGAACAAATATGAGACTTGTCCAAAGCTGTAGGTTGGTAAACGCCTAATATGAGATTTAAACTGAGGTCTATTTAATTCCAAGTTGGTGTTCTTTTGACCAAGACCTCGAAAAAAATTGCAGTGGCCCCTTAGTACTCAACAATTCAGCAGAGTGCCATTTTTAGAGGAAACTGCGATGGGCTGAGTACGGCCACAAGAAACTTATGGTGCCACTAAACTCACAGGATTTCAAACCTGGAAGAGATTAGAGAGCGCAGTACTGTCCTCAAGCCCCATCATTTTGCAGATGAGAAAACTGAAGGTCAGAGAGATTGCAAATCATCCTTGAAAAAAGGATTTGAAGCAACAGGGAGAACACTGAAAGGCCATTCCAGGTGAAGGGTGTATACTGCAGAAAAGCAAGCACAGAGGTCAAATGAGCATGGTGTGTGCTTGAACCAGAATAGATAACACGTACTCTGCAAGACAGAAAAAATAAATAAGACACCTCCATTAAGTTGAGTGCCCAAAGGAAATAGCTCCTTTTGTGTAAAAAAAATAAGTTTAAAAATAAAAGGCTTTTCTAGTCCATCTTTCCATTTTGATCTAAGGCCTATCCCTACTATCACACTTATTTAACTTTACCTAATATTTGACAAGAATCTCTGTGCTGTAGCCAAATTCTCTTTTGATTTTGTTTGTTGCCATTACCGTGTCTGTACTAGAGTATGTGAACATGGATTTATACATTTTTCTACCCAGTGTCTTCTCACCTAGAACTTACTTTGCTTTTCCTTGCTTTTATTTCTTTTCTACCCTTTGGCTTAGAACACTCAATGCCTAACAGCAAGATTAAACAAATCTCTGTATAAAACTCAGAGTTTACAGTAATTGTTATTTTACTCCAAATGGTACCAATTAAACCACAAAAGCTCAAATAATACAGTCTCTCATCTTATTTTAAAATGTGGTTATGCCATTAATTAATATGCTATAAAGAAATGCTGGTCACAGACCAAAAATGGAGTTCAACAGTCTGAGTTTCTGTAAAGAAGACTTTAATAAAATTCTTCTCAAGGTAACAGTTTCAGAGTAGAAAGTTTTTAAACACTTTAAAGTACTCAATAAGTTTTATTTCCTAATCACAAATGCTAAAAATTAACACACATAATTCACTTATGCTGGGTGTGCAATAACAGAGGAAGAAAAGTAAAAACGATTATAAAACTCTCAGAAGTCAAAGTGCTTCCTTTCACCAAAGTCAGGCAGACTTCCACAAATGTGAGGCTCCAAGTTCAGGTGCAGGGGAGAAGTTAGCGCTGGGATACTGCCACCCTGGAGAAAAATCAAGTTCCCAGCTTATGTATCAAGCACATGGCTGGAGGCATTTAAAAACTCCCTACAATGTCTGGGTGGGAGCTGACGGCGTTCCTTCCAGTGGTCTGAAAAACTGCAATCCTATCTCAAGCCCTATCAGACTGGCAGGCACCGGTCCTGAAACAACTGGGCCTCGTCCAGAACCAAGGCCTGACGGGTCACAGAGGAGGTGCCTTGGAAAGACGAGATGTCGAGTGAAATGGAAGGAGGGAGAAGCCAAAAGTCACCCGAGGCCAAAAAAGTCTCTGATGGAGGGGTGTGTGGGTGTGTATGTGCTGGGGAAATGGGTGGCATGAGATAAAGAGTACTAAATGACAGAACAAATAAAGGGTTCCTTAAAAATGCCACTTGGCCCCAAGAGAGGTAATGTGGGCAGTGCACAAGCAAGGTCCGGGTCCTGAACCCAGGAGAAATAAGACAAGCCCCATTTCACAGATGGGTACAGTGAGGCAGGGGTTTCAAATTAAGCCCCACAACGAGTGAGCAATACAGTCAACACTATACTGTAAGCCTCTGGAGGATCTAATTCAACCTGGCACTCCCCACCCGGCCAGCAGTGCTCAGCACTTGGCACACAACCGGATCACAGCTCTGAATGAACGTCCCAAGTCTTGAAACTTCAAGCTTCTTTGCAGAAAACTCGGCTTCGGGCCGGACAACACTGGGGGCCAGGACGAGGGGAACCAGGCTGAGCGGGTCCCGGGAAGGTCGGAGGTTTGGGGTCCGAGTACTGGCCCTCCGCCCGCCCACTGTCACTCACCCGGATGCCCTTCACCACGGTGATGTTCTCATTCTCGTCCGCCTCGAAGGTGACCCGACGTGTGCTGGAGGCCCCGCCCATGGCTGCTTCTGTCCCTGCAGAGCCCTAGCGCGGACCCCGGAGCACTTCAGGCTCCACGCGCACACACGCGCGTGGACGTACCCGGACGCTTGCCTCGCACGGCGGGAGCAAGGCCACGACCCCAAGTAGCAAGGAGAAGGCGCGGGTCCTCCGCTCCCACCTCCTCCGGTCACGCTCCACAACGAGATGCCTCCGGTTGGTGGGAGATACAAACGGCCCGCCTCTACTCTGAAGGGACACCCGGATTGGTTGTTCTGGACCCGGATGCTATGGCAACAGGTGGTGTTTGACAGGGTTTCCGGAGCCCCTGGGTATAGTGGGAATTGTAGTCTCGGTCTGGCGCCAGGGGTGCCGGGACAGCTCGCCCTTAATCTGGAGAGTGCAAGGGGAGTGTGGCATTCTGGGAGTTGTAGTCCTCACTGCCCCAAAGGCTTCTAATGGGGCAACTTCCCAGAAAGTTCATTCTTCTAACTACTGTAAACATAAGAAACATCCAAACCTGTAGGAATTTTTATGACTTTATTTGAGCCAAACTGACGACAGTCGCTGGGAAGCAAAATCTCAACAGATTGAGGAAATGCTCAGGAGAATGACATTTTTGCAGTTTATTTTATACATTATAATCAAAGGAGGAGGTGTAAGGAGGGTACATGAAGTTCATTAGTGGTAGATTAGAGAGGTGGGAGAAAGCAAAGAGAGGAAATGTCTGGGACTGGATAATGAGTCAAATGAAGAAATAAATACTTCTTTTCATTAGTGCATACAGGATAGTTAACATTTACAGCACATAGAGATGGTATCAGCGAACAAGGTAACAATGAGGGGTTCTGTCCTGCTCTGATGGGAGATGGTGCCCTTAGAGGTCTGGAAAAGAGGGGGATTACACTAACATTCCAAAGGTATGTTATCCTAGATGCAAAAAGACAATAGACAGGCTCAGTTAAAGATTTACCTTTGTCAAGGAAGATAGTGGCCTATGACATAACTATCCACCATGACTCAATTTTAGTTAAGAAGATTTACTTTCAGACCATCTTATGTGGTTACTTGAAGTCCCTGAGTTTGTGAAGTCCACCATGCAGGCCTCCCCCGAGCATATCAGGTTTAGTAAGTGGCCCACACTACTATCTTCAGTACCTTTCAACATTAAAAAGCAGTCAGCCACAACACAGCATGGCATCCTCTTCTTCCAAAGATACCACCAAAAAAGCAGTAACATTTTCCATCTCCAATTATGCGCTGATTTATTACTCCTGGAGTCTGCAGGACAGAGGCTGTTTTTTTCATCTCTGTATTCCTAATCAGTAGCAGGGTATTGGATTATTATTGCACATCATCATTTTGTTACTTTCAACATACATGTATGCAAATTGTATTATGCGCCTTTGCAGTTTTGAGACTACATGCTACTTTGTACGAATTCTCAAGTTGTACAATATGTTTTAACCTTTGTTCTACAGGGAAGTAAAAATCCCAGAAATGATGTCTTTTGTTTCTTTGGGACCTCCCCTCCACAAACAACACCCTTTACACTTATTACCCCAATAGTACAGCACTTCTTGGAGGTTCTACATAAAACAGGTGCTCAAGAAATTCTTACCAAAATAATCAATTACAAAGGAAAGAGTTCCTTGGGAAATACAGAGACAAAGGAACCACTATATATTTTAAATATATTTATTTCCTTATAATATTAAATGTGTTCATTCAACCAAATACATATGATGAAGGCTAATCATGAATTATAGTGTGGTGCCTTCACTTTTTATGACACAGAAACATGTAAATGGTCTTATCAAGTAATCTAAAAGTACTTTAGAGATGCAATACAGTATTTTTAACTATAGTGGATCTTGAAAGTCCTCATCACAAGAAAAAAATTGAAATTATGTATGAGGACAGATGTTAGCTAGATTTATTGTGATCATTTCACAATATATACAAGTATGGACTCATGATGTTGTATACCTGAAACTAATGTGTATATGTCAATTATACAGCAATTAAAAAATAAAATAAATAAAAATGCTTTAGGCCTTGGTGTGGCTCAGTTGGTTGAGCATCTTCCTGTGCACTCACAGGTCGCCATTTGGATTCCTGGTCAGGGCACGTGTCTGATTTTTTGGGCTTGATCCCCAGTCAGCATGCGTGTAGGGATGGAGAGAGGGAAGCTGATTGATGTTTCTTTCTCTCTCTCTCCACCTCTCTTTTCCTCTCTCTCAAAAAAAATTCAATAAATACATATTTTTAAAAATTACTTTAGAATTCATAATCTATTACAACCAACAAACAACAAAGAAAACTTCTGAGTTTTTAAAAAAAGATATATCTTCTTATAAAAAATGCCTAATATAACAATATTGTTTTATCAATTTCAAAGTCAGGCCTACAGCCCCTCCTAAAGAAAACATGTTGCAATACCCAGAACCTATACTCTCTCTGACCACAGCTTATTAATGATCCTCTAACCAGCGGTTCTCAACCTGTGGGTCGTGACTCCTTTGGGGGTCGAACGACCCTTTCACAGGGGTCGCCTAAGACCATCCTGCATATCAGATATTTACATTACGATTCATAACAGTAGCAACATTACAGTTATGAAGTAGCAACAAAAATAATTTTATGGTTGGATCACAACATGAAGAACTGTATTTAAAGGGCCAGAAGGTTGAGAACCACTGCGTCTAACCCAGCTGTGGGCAAACTACGGCCCGCCGGCCGGATTCGGCCCGTTTGAAATGAATAAAACTAAAAAAAAAAAAGACTGTACCCTTTTATGTAATGATGTTTACTTTGAATTTATATTAGTTCACACAAACACTCCATCCATGCTTTTGTTCCGGCCCTCCGGTCCAGTTTAAGAACCCATTGTGGCCCTCGAGTCAAAAAGTTTGCCCACCCCTGGAACCCAAAGGCAACATTTATTTACCAGAGAGCTATGAGCTAGAATGCAAACTTTGCCCAAACAAAAATCATAGCTAACACTTGAGCCAATCTGAGTCTCTAGTTTTTTTTTCCCTTTTCTGTATCTCTACTTAAACTTGAAAATTTAGAACATACAAAAAGATAGGAAACAGAGAAGGTATGATACTGACTCAGAAACATGAGGCATTGTAGGAAACTAAAGATAGGTGGAAGCATAAACTGTAAGAAGAATAAAAGACTTCCATTAGAAAAGAAGTAAAATTATCTCTATTTACAGATGATGTGTCATTAAAAATAGAAAAATCCCAAGAAATCCACTAAAAAACTATTAAAGCTAATAAAAACAAGTTTAGCAAGGTGCAAGATACAAGATCAACATACAAGAATTAATTGTATTTCTATATACTAGCAATTAACATGCCAAAATTAAACTAAGAAGTTCCTTTATGATAGTATAAAAGCTATTCAAATATCCATTAGCTGATGACTGTATACACAAAATGTAGTATATCCAGCCAATGGAATATCACTCAGCAATAAAAAAGAACAAAGTACTGACATATGCTAGAATATGGATGAACCTCAAGGATATTATGCAAAACAAAAAATAAGCCAGACACAAGAATCCGAATATTGTATGATTTCATTTAGATGAAATGTTCAGAATGGGCCAATCTATAGAAAATGAAAGTAGTTTAGGCTTGCCAAGGGCAGGAAGAGGGTGAGATGAGGAGTTACTCTAGTTGGCACAAGGTTTCTTTTTTTTATTGGGGGATAAAAAACGGTCTACAATTAGATTATGGTGATAATTGCCTAACTCTGTAAATATACTAACACCCATTGAATTGCACACTTAAAATGAATGAACTTGTTGACATGCAAATTCCATATCAATAAAGCTGTTGAGGAATGCATAGCTATCCAACCATGATAAAAATTACTTTATCATTTAATAAAGTCCAAAATAGGGTGCTTTTTTCTTTAGGAAAAAGAGAGAAAAGAAAATGTGAGAAGTTAGAGGTGCTGAAAAATAAGCCAGTGGAAAAGGAGACTAGAATAAATCAGACATTCATGAATTAGCATAGTCCTACAAGTCAAGGAGCACTGGAGTGAAGACCCACAGCTCCAGAAGCTTCCGGAATTGCCTAGAACTGAGAAAGGCCTTCCAACTATACTTTTCATAATGGCCAGTTCTGTCAAGGCACCTCATCTTCCTAAGGGTCAGCTGTTCTGTGTTTCCTAGGTTCTGGGACACAGGTGACCTCACTAAAGAATCTTCTTAATCACATAAGGCCTACCCAAATGTCTACAGCAATGATACAACATATTTTCTCAGTCTCCAGTCAAGAAACCAGCACTCTAAGTAAAAAGAATGAATATCAGCAGTTAACTTTGATGCAGGGCAGAGAACTAACTGAGCAGTAATTTGATTCTTCACAAATCTTAGTTTGGCCATTGAGCAATATTACCTTGAAACTCCTTCACCCTGAGTAATTTCATGCTTTCCCACCATGCTAGTGATTGGAATTAATGGTGCAAACAAATAAACAAATGCTTTTGCTGTTAAAATGCCAATCATCTCCAATTTCCCCCGTCCTTGAAAGAAATCCAACTAGACTTCTAAATCACTCTAACAAGCAATTCCAGAAGTCTCAAGGTAGGAAGAAGGTTTTCACTACATACTCTGTTTTTCAATCCCAACTTTTTTTCTTTGATTTTTATTTATTGATCTGTGTGTGTGTGTGTGTGTGTGTGTGTGTGTGTGTGAGAGAGAGAGAGAGAGAGAGAGAGAGAGAGAGAGAGAGAAACATAAATTTTTGTTGTTCCACTTATTTATGCATTCATTGGTTGATTCTTATATATGACCTGACCAGGGATTGAACCTGCAATCTTGGTGTATCAGGATGATGCTCTAGCCAACTGAGCTACCTGGCCAGGGCCTCAATCCCAACTTTAAACAAAAGTTTGCCAAATGCAAAATCCTAGTGATCCCCCCTCTACCCTTTTCTTCACACATCACGTGACTGTTCCTGATATACTAGCTGGAAGTTTAGGGAAAAATGTGTGAGAAGGAGGAGTAACAACAGAAAGACCATGACCTGCATGATGAGGAACCAGGGAGGAGAGCCCTGGGTCTGGTCCCCAGCTAAAAGCTAATCCGTGTGTTGCTTACCCTCACCCCAGCTCTTTTCAGTAGCATTTAAACTGCACAATAGAGCACTCTGACCTGTGCTGAAATAGAATATAGATATAATGATCATGCTACATGAGCTAAAAATTGGAGCACATGCT